CCCCCCGCCCCCACCACCACACACGCACACCTTTCTTTGTTTAAGGAATTCAGAAGCTTTGATATATATAGTAGTTGACCTGTTTCATCATTACTCCACATTTATTGAACACCTAATAAATGCCAGGTTGTGTTGTACGACTTAGAAATACAGTGTTGAACGAGGCAAAGGAGTTCCTTGCTCTCGTAGTGCTTACATTGCTGTGTGGGTGGTTGATGAAAAATAAACAGGAAAATGTAAAAATAAAAAGGAGAGTGGGCTTGACAGTCTGCTTTAGGTTGGACGGTCAGGAAGGGCCCTTTTGAGGAGGTGACACTTGGTATTATTACTCACTTGGTATCCCTAAAAAATAGGGAGGGCATTCTGTGTGTGGTCAGCGGTGGCAAAGACATGAAGACAAGGGAAACTGCTCATCATGTTGTAGAAATTGCTTAGACTAAGAACCCTGGCCTCCGATTAGCCCGTGTAAACCGCTAATGGACTGGGGCAGATCATTAAATGCCAGGGGACCTGGTTGTTCAGTTTGAGTGTGAGAGGGCTCACCCAGTGTCCTCTAAGCCCCAGCTGCCTCAGGTATAACTTCCAAGCCGGCTTTGCTTTCCGTGGTCTACACTGCCTCCCAGTGTTATCAAAGAGTCTTGGGTCTCTTTTATATTTACTAATTTCTGGTCCTCTCTATGTCTGAGTGGTTTTGTCTAACTGTTAAAGCACCTGTATGATCTCGAAAATGACTCGTATGTGGGGTGGTTGTTTTTCAGTTCCTGCCTAGATCGCTCCTGCCTGCCTTTCTCCTCCCCAGAGCGAGGTTCTCAGAAGCACTGCCTCCAATGGGGTTTGATCCTCCGCTGACACGATCGTATGGCTCCTTATTTGGCAGACTCCAGTCATGCATGCTAGTGCTGGCTTCGCCTTAGAAACAAACCAAAGACAGATAAAATATTTGATTAGATTCGGTCCTGCAAATAGTGCGAAATCTCACACGGCTGGTTTTCAGTTGTGACGGGAAGTTGCTGAGTATTATTAGCTAAATCCTTCTCGTTCCTTTCTTCAGTAAGGTAGAGCTGATGGGACACAGCACCCAGGCGGGGGAGACATTGTGACTCTTAACAGGAAGAGACTTTTTTGAGAGAGTTTATTTCCTCTTACGTACACAGTGAATTTTAACATTATTTTGGTGTCCTTAAAGAAAATTCCTACATCTGTGTATGCAGCTAAAATGCTAAATAATGCTCATCACTAGTGTGGGACAGTGAACTATAAAGAAAATACCCCAGCTAATAAGGAAAAGACTCCTCAGGGAACCAAAAAGCCCTCTGAAAAGTTGTGTTTCTACTCCTTAAAAGATATATGTTTCATCTAATGCTTTTTTTTTTTTTTTTTTTGGTGGGAAATACCATTGCAATTGCCTCAATACCATTGCCAGCCTAAAATAAAGATTGGCTCCTTAAGCAGTTCCTCAGACACCAGCTGTGTCCCTAGAAAGTGTGGTTCTACTTTTGTGTACTATAAGAGGATTCACTCCGGTGAAATCATATTGAAACAAGAAATTAGCATTAACCTTAGTCTCAACACCTTGCAGCAACTTCCAAGATAATTAGAAATGGGATCCGTAAAAAACTCCCCCCTCCAGGTTGGTGGAGGTGATTTCCGAGCTGTGGGTCTTTCAGGAAAGCCAAGTTCATCCTTAGCTGTTTGGACTAACTTGTCACTTGTGGGAATGCTGGGAGCCCAGGGCCACAGGGTTGAGACTGTACACATTCCCCTGGGTCCAGCTGGAAGGCCAGTACCATGAACGCCAACCATTTGTTTATTCACTCCGTAAGTCAAGAGCTGCGCTAGGCAGTTGGGGTGCTTGCTGAATGGACCCTGTCCCTTCTGGAGACCTCCCAGTTTAAGGAAGATATAGACATAGAATGGGTACTTATAAAATAATAATGTTTTATGCTATGAAGGAGGTGCATTATGTAAAAATAAGGAGAACAGGAAGCATATACATCAGAGTGTGGTCAAGGAATGCTTGCTGGAGTACATAACACTAAAGCTGTCCCGTCGTGAGGGCATTCTTGGGTTTGATGGAATGGTGATTGAGTCGCTGTGAGTTTCCGGTATTTTTGTACATGTTTGATTTGGAATATGTAACATCTTGAGTTTGTCAGAAGTCAGAGATTATCATCAAATACTGAACTTTCTTCCTGACTTAAGATTCGTGAGGACTTGACACAAAATCAATGTTCAAAAATCCATAGTGTCCCTGTACTCTAATAATGAAGTATCGGAAAAAGTGGAAAAAATAATT